GGTTGCATGTTAGAAGGTGTTTTGCATTTGGAAGTTGAAGAGTTAGTATAGAAAGCCTCCGTGGCTGGAGGTTTAGCATCTGAAAATAGAGTTCGATATACCCCCTTCGTATAAGACCATTCATCTCGGTCGCCGATGAAACGTACTATCCTGAGTAATTGGGATTTTCACCTTATTGCCAGACTCAAATGTCTTTCATTTTTGGAGAAAGAGGGGGGCGGAATAAAGGGATATAGGAAATAGGTCAGCTTAAAAAAGCAAATAAAGATCCCAGTGAATATATCTCAAGTCGAATATTGGGGGTAGGGGAGTTTCTAGCGTCTCCAAGGCTGCTTCTAACTGCTTGATAAGACTGTCTTTCAGGGTGCCCCGCAGTCAATTTGATGGATCAGCCTTTTTCCTCTATGTTAAGCCATGATCGAACCTCTACCTTCCAGCCAGACCATTTAAGATCACGCTCGTAAATAACAGACAGCGTGCACCTACGGAACCTTTTCAGCAACGAATAGCTGGCTAGCAAGGACGAGACATGTACTTTGTTCGCTTTGCAGTTTTCTGCCATTGTTCTAGCGATATCCTTAAGACATTCGAATCGTCTCCGAATTGACTTGTAGAGGAGAGCTCTCGTAGCGTGTGATTATGCTGCCGTTTTCGCGGAGGACAATCGCAAATAATTCATAGTCCTCAGTCATCCCAGGGATAATAAAATATCTAAAGGATGATATCCGTAGAAGGAATGGCCGTGTTGATCTCAGGATAAACTGTTCTGGTGTTTGCATTGAGAGCTTTTGTGGAATTACGGGGGCCCAAGCTTGGGGAGTATCGATAGCGATGGGGTTGCCAGGTGTAAAGCAGAATTTGAGATGCGTCATGTTAACACTGAGATTAGACCATGGGGCCGGGGCCACCCGTGCTGGACTATCTAAGGCGTATAAGTAGCGTGATATGTAGAAGGTCTCATATGGTATTTCACTGACATCACCGATCTCCGCTTTACTTACGACCACATACCCGCCATCGTAGTTTCCTAGAGTGATCAGTCGCACGAATTCCCCTTGTAGATTGATCTCTTTTAGTAGGATGCCAACGACCCCGCCTCTCAGCTCGGATCCGAGAAGCGCAAGGCACGCTTTTTCCTTTTCCCCGCGTGCTTTACCATACGGATAGTATCGACGCTGCATGCAAACTAACAAACCCCTACTTGTCATAGCCATGGGTGGAATAGTTTGCGGTTCGTTCTTTAGTTTCCCATCAGCAGGTCTTCGTCGGTTGCCCATATGGGGATGCATCATTCTGGCGCTCGTTTTGAACATTGCGGGTGATCGAGCAAGCACACCGCAGGATCCTGTTTCTACTATATCGCTTCCCGAGTCGAGACGGTAGCCCATACCGTGTCCCCATGCCAGGATTGAATAGTCCTCCATCTTCCTCAAGATCTCTTCTTGGAGGCGAAAGAAAGCATTTTGGCCCTCGCCGTATATTAGAGGCATGTTAACGTTGAAAATTCCTAGTAAACAGTACGCCTCGTCTTCCACTCGTGTTGTCTTTCTGTTTGCTGCCCAAGACCTGACTACCGCTATCAGTAATTTGCTAAACCGGACAATTATATGTTTACTTACTAATCGGTCGTTAGCGTTGCTATCTCTCTATGATGTTTAGACGTAAATAAAGTGTAGAGAATGAGTATTGATTAGGATTATGGTCTCCTTACCATGCGTTCAGCCACGGAATATCTAGATAGATCCGGCCTTACCAAGCCACTCAGAAGTGTCTCTGGAATTTTGGTGATTGTGCTTATCTCCTGTTGTAAGCTAGACTTCGTACCAATCATTTCACCATTCCTGTCATAGAATACTACACAGGCTGGGGATATTAACTCCTGGAGCGTCCAGCCTCTAGTAAACCAGCGACTCTTTGAGAAACTCTTAAGCGTAAGATCTTCCTTAAAGGTCGCGTTTGAGGACGGATCCCCCATAAGCACATCCTCCAATAGTACAAAACAGATTTCTGCATTTGCGTACCACGTGTACATTGAATTGATAGCTTCGGACAATTCGACGTGGTTCCTTTTATCGATACTAATGCGTAGGCGAAATAAATGAGTTGCGTCTCACTTTGAAAGGCCGGTAGTTCCATTTCTACCACCGATGCAAACTTAGAAGTGATCAGCTTCGACTTACCAACACGTGTCAACCCAGGCATAGCTAAAGCCATTCTGTCTCGCAAGCTGACAACATAGCCCTATCTTAGAAAACCCTCGTTTTCGCGTTGTTTCGTCTGTCCAGTATGGAACACGTTGAAGGTCTTGAAAAGTAACTTCGTCGGGACCCCATGTGTGAGACAATATTACGTAGGGCGGAATATCTTTGCCGTAAAATTCGTAGATGTGAAGCGAATATACGTCAAGAAGACGCATTGTTTATTAGCGTGGATTGTTGAAAATGTGAGCTGTTGTGTTCAATAGATAGGTTTGCTAGGTTTGTAGTGTTGTAATTACCGACACTAACTCTCACCCTAGCGCCCTTTAAAGAACTCTAAGCCCGTACTCTCAAGCCTTTATATGGAGCACAAACAGTTTTAAGGAAGCATACAAGTAAAAGAAGGTAATAGCACGATATTAGGATGTTGAAACTACTCTGAATACAAACGGCTGCGGGGTCGGGGCGCGGGGCAGGTTGCCTCTAGTGCTTAGGCAAATAGTCCTGCGAATCTTTTAGCGTCGTGGTGTTTCTAAAAATTGTGCACGCACTATTAATCCACATGTAGACTTAACAGGTAGGTAGGCCATCATGATCTACGGTTGGGAGCGGCTGAGAGAGGGCCGGCTTACAAGCTGTTGTATTGGTATGATTATATTGTCGAAAAATATAGAAAGTCAAACGCTAAGGAAGCTATCAAGCCTTTTACTATAAACACAAAGGCCGGGACTCGAAGAGCTATGCTTTGTAGGTAGTCTGTGCACAGAAGGTTCGCGCTAATGCATCCTTCAGCCTTAAAATTATGGGCTGTGTCGCACTGTATTTAGTGTACTGTGTCTCTTGTAGCTCCACACTCTAGACTTGTCGCCGGGACTTCTTACGATGATCAACGTGGACTTCTGCCGCGATTAGAAATATGCTTAATAAAAATATTTCTTTACTTGGGTAGAATGGTAGCTGCTGGATCCATATAGACTGCACCTACTGTGGTTGTGTAGTTTAGTGCACCAACCACTAGTCCGCTTCACCGCGTTTGCGGGTGCTAGGCTATTGAGTTTTAAGATATTAGGGCTGAGGGTGGATGTTGAAGGAGAGGTAACTATACCAAAAAAAAAAAAAAAGGTGATGTTTCTAGACACGCCACCTAATGAATTCCTTAGATTACTAAGTGGTAAGACAGACACTTATGTGAGGGGCATCAACTCCTTCCCCCTCCCTTTTTTCTATTTGCATGTCTAATACTTGATGCAATGCTTAGCAGAACGCATCGGTCGCTATAACTACCATAGTTAAAAAAGGTTGCCATGCGTCACTCTTGCATTCGGATACTTATCATATCTCCCTCGGACAAATTAAGAATCAGCTGCGAGGGGGAGGAATAGGAGAAGTATTGTACTGGATGTAGTTTCTTCGAAAAGAGAAAACGAAAAAGACACAAAGACATGATATTATTTTTACGGCGGTGGTTTCCAATTATTTAATCTAAGCTATTAAGGTCAGGACTCAAAGTTTTAGACTTATATACGTCGTTGAGTGAAGGATCATTGCTGTGGAACTGCGTGATGAATCTCCTTAGATGGTCGAGTGGTAAAACACTTGCATCTGATGGGCACGTTTTTTATCTTGGCCTTTTCTTTTTTTTAAAAAAAAAGAATGACCAATTTATCAAGGTTTGAAATATTAAACTTTATATACCCTTTCAGGTGGAATGCTATTGCTGTGGAACTGCGTGATGAATCCCCTTAGATGGTCAAGTGGTAAAACACTTGCATTTGATGGGCACGTTTTTTTTTCTTACTCCGTTTTCCCTCTTTTGAGCACATTTTCCTTTCCTCCCCTTTCTAAAGTTCCCTACAACCTGATTTCCTCAGTATTATCTACTACTATGTAATTAAAGCTCCACCTCTCTCACTATTTCTGCCCTAACTTCGAACACCGCTTCTTACTCGGCCTGGCTATCTTGAAACAAGGATAAAAGGTCTCCTCTAAACGACCTGGGCGTAACTGTAGAGCGGCATTTTAGCGCGGCATCACACCCTGCGCAATCGACCATGTGTTAACAATTCCAAGGAAACATACGAAAACAAGGGCCAGGCGAGGCGGGCGATGGACGCAACGAGCAGTGTGGTGGAGAATACCATACGCCTGCGTAGCTCTACTGATGTACCGAGATTGCGCTCGATTTCGGGTTAGGTGTCGATAGAATGTCTCGTTTAAAACTCATCTAGCCGCGAATCATGATCATAGGTATCCTTAGATGGCCTCGTGTGTCTAGCGCTCTCTACCCACAACAACAGCGGTCTGCAAGCGACGGTAACAATCACAACTTTTGATAGAGGCCGACGCCCTTCAGCGTAACAATGAATTGTTAATCTATACTTGAGAAAACTCAAATCCAGACTCCTAGTCAATCGTTGAGGAACAAACCTACTACATAGTCGCGAGCTTCCCTCTACCTTCACGACAAGATTCGCGACACTGAATGTGACTCCTCACGAGGAATTGACTCTTATTGCGCCTAGGTTGAAGTGCAGCTTCTATGTACAACTGATGGAAAGCTGTGACGTCTACCCTTGCCGGCCAAAGGCTGCCCCCCACCCGTCTTTCCCCTTTCGCTCCCTTCCCCCTTTCTCTTTCCTCCTCCCCCATACACGGCCAGCACCTAGCAACAGCGACCACCGCTGCCTTCCCTACATCGCACGCACGCTCGCTCGCCCGGATAAACCTCGCTACCTACCATCGGCCCCCAGACATGGGCAATAAGTATTAAGATTATGGGCCGCCTTAGTAGAAGTCCCTGCCCAGGCGGTGGTCTAGGGGTTTGGATTCATCGCGCGGTTCCACAGCTGCGTCCGATAAGGTCGGGGGATCGAATCCCTCCCACTGGAGTCAAACTTCCTCTTAGGCTAACCTGAGGGCTTTACCTGATCAACCTAGGGTCAGGAGCAGATGTAGTAGCCGACAGATGGGCGGTTTGCGAACTGTTTTGTTATTTTTTCCCATGCTCTTTTGCAATATGAATTCGCCTGGATCCCAGACTGATGCAGTCTTGAAAAAGAACTGAATTCTTTGTTCTCTCAGCAAATGCTTTTTCTAACAGGTGCATTGATCGGGATGACCGAGAGTCAGGTTACTAGAGACCGCATCGACATTCACATGCTGGATATGCTATAAGACAGCTCTACCTTATTGCGTGGTGTTGTGTGATTGTGCCTTACAATACAGCTGATTCCTAAAATGGCGTCAAGATATCAGACAACCACGGCTCGTCCCACAAACTTTCCAAAAACTCATCGGTAAAATATCCATCGTCGACGAGCCCTACGCTGCCATTGTCCGCAGTAGGTAGCGACTGCTGCTGCTTCTGTGGCCCCATTTCTGCTAAGAATAGCGCTTTTATGGCTCGGAATAGGTATGAGGTCTTGAATAGGAGGCCCCTTCTCGGCCCCTCCGCATCCACGATGCCCAATGTTCCCGGAACACAATCTACAGTCTCAGCAGCGCGGTCTAAAACTTCGAACACATTCACACGTCTCTTTACCTCCTCCAGGTCCCAACCGGTGATTTCAAGAGTTGTGAGTTTGAATAGTATAACGAGGCATTGAGTGAATTGAGCGAAGAAATCAACGCTAATGCCAAGCCAGCCAAATAGCGGCATATCGAAGAACATTGCCAGCCATTTCTCGATGGTACTTAGTGTTACGTCGGCAGACTGTAGTCTCTGGAACTGTGCGAGGTTGGCGTGATCCGGTGTACTGGACCTGCTAATTGCTGATGATTGAATCGTGAGCTTCGCACTATTGATATAAAACTGAGCGGTTCCTAGATCCCATCGATGAGCATGAGTAGTCTCGCATCTAGGGGTAGATACTGACTGTCTGAGTGGAGGGGAGGCGGTAAATCGCGCCAAACATCCTCTAATTGTCTAAGTAAAGCCGCAGTTATGACGGCTGAAGGAGTCTTTAGGCCATCTTCTCCCCATTCATCGTCAATAGAGGGGCATGTTAATTGATGGGTGATAAGCTGGCATTTGACTTGAGTGACTAGGAGGATGTCCATCATAGTCTCGCCTGCTTCTGTCAAGATTCGCAAACAGTCGTCCAGGTAGCGGCTCCAACGAAGAGGCTCTATTTTCCTATAAGCCGCCCACGTACTGCGACAAATTCGTTAGTTAGACCCTCATTCCTTGCTGTCCTTCGGCATCTACGAGAAGGGCTGGCAAAGGGGTGGGACGAATGCTCACGAAGAAGTTAAGTGAAATACGGCAAGAAAGGTCCGGCGCTCTTCGATTGTTCGGATCTTCTGAAGAGGCTCATTTTGGGCAATGGCTCCGTGAGACCTTTTTCGCCCTTGATGGTTCATAGGCACATCTTTATGTAGGCCGAGCTCGGTAGCTAGTGATAGTGCCAGCTGGGTCAGCATATTCATGAAAGGCTTGTCCTTCTTGAAGTAGTGAGACCTAGACGAATGTTAGTCCGCGAACGTTAAGTTATGGCCGAGGGACAGACCAAGAGGCAAAGCAAACCACCCCAAGGAGCAAGTCTAGGTCCGCCAAATGCTCCGACACGATTCTACGCGATATGATATCCCATATCATCTCCTCCATGGCGAACTGCTGCGAGACTGACTTGGTAGTTAAGCACAGCATGACAAGCCATAGACAGGGCTTTTCATGCCGGAGTTGCGACGCGCTCATAGTAGGCGGCAAGTGAATGAAAGGAAACATAGGAAGAAAAGCAATCCGAAAGGTGTGCAACTGCTCTTCCGCCAGCCTCTCCGTAACGTCACATGCAAGTACATCCTCAAAGATGGGGTTATGGCAAGATGGAGGCGGAGTGTGCGGACGAACGAGACGCACAGCACTTGTCGTCATATCCACCACAATGTCTGGATCGCGCGGTGGCGCAGAAGCTGCCGTGATGCTTGCGGCCGATGGCGTGTTGTATGAAGTCGGTGGTGTCGCCGTTTGTAGAGTCTGGGCGGGAGCAAGAGTGTATTTGTCTACTACTTGAGAGCGCAGTACGGACATAATATCGTCTAGCTTCGCTTCTAACTGGGATGACAAGGACGCCACTGCAGGTGTTGATGCTGATTCCGATGCGGATGCGATAGTAGAAGCAGGATCAAGAGCAAAGGCAGAGGTGGAAGCGGAAATAGTATCATGCTGTTCCCGAGCTCTACGTTTCCTAGTACGAAGCGATTGTTTACAAGCTATACCACGACGGTGACACCTGAATTCGCAGATTTACATTATCAGCCTGCCAAGCAAGCCAGCTGACGAGAATAAGGCGAGGGGTGTGTGTGGTTAATTCCTTACCTCTCGCACCCCGACTCTGGAGGAGTGCGGTAGAAACATTTGCACTTAGCGCGTACGCAAGCTTCGCATGCCCGTCCATATGGTGCTGGACTGCAAGACTCGGGGGCCACCATCGCATTGAGCGACGTGCTGCTTGACATGCTACACGACGTGTGACAGTTGGCCACCAGCGCCCCGGGCGATGAGAGAGGAACCTAGCCGAAAAAGGCAATTTGACTAGATTGATATTGAAAATCCGAGTTGGACATAGAAGAAATCGGGCATGTAAGACGTGACACTATTGCGAATGCCGTGGAATTCGAAGGAGTCGGGTCCGCGGATTTGAGCTCATGTTAGTAACCAAATACCCATCTAGTCTAGCTCTTAATTAAGTACATCCTGTATGTAAGCCCTAGGTAAGAAGCGTCGAAATCCGCGTGATCCCTGCTGACTCCGTGGGAATAGCATCTTTCTCGGCCTAGCGCCTAGTCACCGAATCCGAATTCCGCGGTGGTTTCGGAAATCGAGGTAAATGAGACTCATAGTCAGCAAAGTGACTATGTATCTTAGAAAGAACATACTATACAGCAGAGGGCTTTGGATTAATATATATATTGGATGGAATGTCCCCGGCTATGGCTTCATTATTCCCATGCTCAACGCACTCTAGCTTAAACCAACTCTACGACCACGCCTTTCGCCAATCTCATTCCCCCTAATCATATCTACCCAGTCCAACATCGCCCTAGCACACCCCTAGAAGATCGTTCGAAATGCCGGGCACCGTCAGTTTCCTTCAACAATCCTTCCCTGGGAAGCCTACCTTTACGGAAAATGATATCCCTGATCTAGAAAACAAGGTGAGCGAGCTCCTGAGCCTACATAGCTCTTAAGCATTAGTGGCCAAGTGCTAGCCAGACAGCCTCGAGCACTAGCGTCTCCAGCTTCATCATTGAGCTAACATATCCCAAGGTCGTCATCGTCACTGGTTCGAACACCGGTGTCGGAAAGGAGATTGCCCGCATGTGCTATGAGAAGCATGCTACCGTTTACATGATGGCACGATCTGAGGACAAGACCAGACATGCCATGGCCGACATCGAGAGTGACATACCCAACTCGCGGGGGCGTATGATCTACCATAAGCTCGATCTCTCTAACCTCGAGAGCGTCAAGGCTTCGGCGCAGGCCTTCCTCACCAAGGAACGGAAGCTCCATGTTCTCTTCAACAACGCGGGCGTCGGGTATCCTGAGAAGGGCTCTAGGACCACTCAGGGCCACGAACTCCAGCTTGGCGTGAATGTGCTCGGCACCTTCGCCATCACAAAACACCTCACGCCTCTACTCGTGTCGACAGCCAAGACGTCGCAACCCGGCACCGTCCGCGTCATCTGGGCCTCCTCCTCGGCGGCCGAGGCCCAGAGCGCGCAGGGCTTTGTCCAGGGATTGGCCTCCTGGGACGAGAAGGGCCAGTACGAACAGTACTGTCTCTCCAAACTAGGGAACTACTACTATGCCACTGAGTTCGCTGCCCGCCACGCCGCCGACGGTATTATCTCCGTTCCCCTGAACCCCGGCAACATCGACTCGGATTTCTGGCGCACCATGGGATCTGTTGTGACGTGCGTGCTGCGGAAAACCCTCCTGTACCCGCCACGCTACGGAGCGTACACCAACGTGTTCGCTGGCTTTTCGCCAGAAGTCACACTGCAGAAGTCAGGTCAATTCGGTAAGCACAGCTATTCTCACTCTGCATTCGTCCCACCCTACTCAGTGTACCCAAGCTAACCACGACGGGCCCAAAATTTAGTTGCTCCTTGGGGCCAATTCCGCAATGTGTCGAAAGACATGCTGGAGGGGTCCAAGCCGACCTCTCAGGGCGGCAATGGCACGGCTAAGGAGTTTTGGGACTGGTCAGAGACCCAGATCAAGGCATATGCGTAGGGGGAATTGGGCCGTCGCATTTGAACATATTAGATGTATATAGCATGTAACAATGGCGGTTACGGCGTTCAGGTTTCTCGGTGGTACTAGATAGGGATTTGGTGTTCATTTATTAGCTTTACGGTTTCGTAATATGTGTTTTATCTCTGTTCAAATTTAATGCTCTCCCCTGTGTATGGTTAATGTGCTCTAGCGATTATTTAGATGAAGTAGTGTGTTGGCTAACGTACTAGAAGATAATTCAAGTATTTACTTAGAGAGTCAGTAATGGTGGGACAGGTCCCAGACCATGTGATGGTCAGATTCCGCGTTGACGAGGTATGAGGAAGAACTGTGAAATTCTTCCTCGGGAGGATCTTCGGGATAATTAGAACTATATGTCAGCTCAAGCATGAGTTGCACTACGCCCAAACAAGAATACAATGCGCCTATTCGGGACATACCTTCTCGCTAAGCATGAGCTAGATCCGAAAGAGACGAGAGGGTAGAGAATCGACGACGTCAAGGCCTCTAATAATCCCTGCATTTACTCATCGATAAACTTAAGCGTGGGGTACGCTGCTCCCGGGTTCAATTCCATGTCCCCTTTTTACCCTGATTTAGACTAGGTAAATCCCATATATATGCCATGCCTCCCGATCGACTTAA